TCACCGTGTTTGTAGTATGTCAGTAACAAAATATCTCTCATTTTGAAGGGTAAATTTCTAGGAATGCGTACTTCCTCAATGAATAAAATACAGCATTTTGGAGAAAGACCTACTCATATACTGATCTCTCTCTGTTCCAGAGGCAAATCACTTTTCATATGGCCATATGGAGAAATGCATATGTCAGTGTGTCAAAGTGTCATGGCGCTCGACAGCATTTCTGTGTTTCCTGCACTTCCTGTGCCTCTGTTATGATCACTGTCACATTTAGTCAAGCGCCATTTCAATAAATGTGCCATAACAACCTGGTTGAACTATTCACACTTACAATATATCCATTCTGTCCATCATTAATAAAGATAAAAAAGGCACCAGTTACTGTTTCTTCCTGCTCATTTAACACTGAAGTACTGTATTTCAGCATAGGTCCGTCTATTTGAAGCTGTACAATTTATCATGAAAAATGCAGCATTAAGCTTATGAAACTGTGAATATGTACACTTCATCATATAACAGCTCAATTCATGATAATGGCATAAAGTAAAATGAGTATGAATTATGTGGAACTGAAAACAGTTTGAGGAATGACATGACTTGGGATGCACAAACATGAAAAATGAGCTTGTGTTTCTTAAAATACAGTTTTATTTGTGAATTTACACTGATTAGCAATACATCTAAAAGCAACTCCATTAGATAACCATTTATATAGGATTTTCACAGGTCACAAAGTAGCTTGGCTCATTCTGGCATGCCAAAGCAAAACTCATTCTTTTTTTAAAAACAGAAAAAAAAGGTGGATAGAGAGGCATTAGTAAAGCAAGGTGCAAACAGTCGGAAACAAAAGAGGAGAAAATAAAAAGGATGCAATGCACATTCAGTTCATCTGGGAGCAATGTATGCTCTTGAAATGGTTAATAAAAAAAGCCTAGTGCTCTCTGCAAACTAAAAGAAAAGAGAAAGCGTACTGCGATACAAATGGAGGATGAAAAAAATAGAACTTTCCAGGAGAGATGGTATGAAAGAAAAAAGACAGTCTGAGTGATAAAAACATGGTGCGTTAGTGTCAGGTTGTCCTTACCCCCTGCCCCTCTCGACTACACACACATATGCACTTCCATTTCCAAACTCACACCTCTTTTCTCCATCTTTCAGTTGTGTGACCTCGGCTCTTTGCCCAAAGCCAAAAGGTATCGTTTAACACAGCTAAAGATGTGTCCCCAAACCCGCCCTCCCTCCCTCCAAATCCAATACTTCACATTGCTAGCTGGGATATTGGTACATCTGGTTAAACTGCGGGGGGAGGATATGTGGCAACCCATCACACTTTGGCTTTGCAGAGTTCAACTGTGGGTCATCTGACAGTTACAACACGATCGCGTTTACTAGAGAAATTACATGAGGGGAGGCTTTAGAAGCTGAAATGATGACCGGGCTCGCAGAGCGATCAAATAAAAATAAAATGTCCATATGACCTCCTTATAATGTTCCAGTTTCAGAAGGAAATAAATGGCAAATTAAGTGAGGAAGTGTAGCTGCTGTGGATGTAGCTACGGAGAAAAAAATAAAAATAAAATAAAGTTGAGTTTTTGGGGGCCTGAGGGTGTCAATGCAGTCACTGGGGTGATTTAACAGAGGTCCTGTTAGGGTCCTTGACGGCCTAGCAGGCAGACGAGAATCGCAACCCTTGTCTCATCATTAAAAACAATGGAGGAAAAAAAAATTACAATATGGCTTTAAAAACACACACACACAAACACACCAAACAAAAGATGTCACCGCTCCACACTCCACGAGCCGTGATTCTCATTTCAGCTGGCGACTGCAGATAGTTCGACATGTATGTATCAGCACTACACTTCCTGTTTTAAAAATTTTTGTTGAGTTGAGAAGTAGAGATCATTTCTCATGTGTGACACCAATGAAAGATTATTCTTCCTTTCTTCATTCGACTCACTTTCTGGGTCCTGACCTTTCTCCACAACGCCATGCCTTGCTTTCTACTTGCACAACTTTTACCATATACTTCACAATCTCCTTCACTGGTGTAACCACCTGCAACTAAAATGTGTTATATACCACAAGAAAAGTGCAGCACAATAAAATAAAAAATATATAGTTAAAAATCTATAGCCAACATATCCAGTTTTCATATATCTGTGTTATATAGTAAATTTGTGTACTCTGTAGATTAGAATATAATTTGAGCAATCAGGCATCACTACAGAACATAGTCAGCCATATAAATTCAGTTCTTGCAAAAAGAGAAAACATGCGTAACATCTGTATTCTCTGTAAAAGCTTACAAATGAGTACAAAACAGAGTTGACTAATACCAAATTTGTGTTCAATAAAAAAAAAGATAAAATTTCATGAGATGACAAACTAGACACAAACAGTGACGACATACTAAAATGAGATTGTTTCTTCTTTTCTTCCATTTAGTTTGGCGAAAAAACCAATTGAGATGAAGAGGAGAAGATATTAAAATGCTACATAAATATTCTGAGTGAGTCAGTGACTCTTTGAGATAACGTCAACTTAGTTGTGATGGACCAACAGCTTTCATCCTCGCTATCTCGTCCAGTCCATTAACCCTTTAACTCATCTGTAGTTCAACCACAATCAGCTGAAGAGAAGGTTTGTATCAGAAGCCTGTACTTAGAGAAACTTGAAGAGTGTGAGAGGCAGAGAGAAAACTTCTCTCACAGCAAATAAATCAACACAAACCCTGTGGCTGTTTTTCTGAGACCAGTTTTCCAGTGTGACTTCAAATTTCATGTGGCCTCTCAGTTCCCTATGCAGACCAGAACGAAAAAACAAAACTTGGAAAGCCTGAGGGAGACTTGACAGAGAGAAAAAAGGTTTCGCTTCAACTTGTGCAGCTTTACAACACTCGTGTTGCAATCCAATCATTTAATAAAACTGGATTTTGAGAGGAAATACTCAAAGTGGTTTCAAGTTCTGTTTTCAGCCTGGGAAACAACACAGGAGGAGCCAGTTATTCAGGATCTAAATGGCCTCACATGACACTTTCATGCTTCCGAGGAGCCCTGTTAGAGTACTGCACAGCTGTATCTGGCATATAGACACCCAACACCTACCTAGGTCAGCCTACATCTGCAGAGACTTTTAATTGTGGACCCACATACCCATCCCGTTCTTTTGCAGAAGGAGAGACATTTTTTGTGTTACAAACCAATTCATTTTTTATGCTATCTGTTCTTCTGCCATTTGTACATAAAAACTTTTGTTAAAAAAATTCAAATAAAATTAAAACAAAACAAAAAAGGGCATTGAAAAGAGAGACAAAATAAAAACACAGACATTAAACAGAAAAGGTGGCTGCCGCCACTCTTTCTTCTTCTGCGCAGACGGTCTTCCTGCATGCCTTGCCCCTGCTGCCTGCCTGCTCTCAAGCCTCTGTCTTCTCTTTCTTTTTGTTCTTCTTCAGGAAGGACGGGGTGCGGAACTTCTTCTTTTTCTTAGTGTTGGGCGACTTGGAGGGCGAGCTCTCGGGGGAGAGTGCCTCCTCGATCTTCTCGCTGGAGCGCACCGTGATCTCCACGCTCTCCACGCTGGTGGTCAGCTGGCTGACGCGCTTGGACAGCTCCTCGTCCACGTTGCCGTGGTTGTCTTTGCCGTTCATCAGGCCCGTGTGGTTCTCTGAAGGAGGGAGGGCAGAGGAGGAGTCAGACACAGGTTAGGAGAGGACAGGGAGCAAAAAACAGAGGAAGGCCACATCACTTCATTCTGGAAGACACACCCTATTAACAGACAGCACCCACAAACAATAAATGACCATACAGTAGCCGTATGCTTCACATTGACCAGCATTAGTGCAAAGTCTAAAGTGTACTAATGTGGACGAAAGAGTAAATACTAGTGAGACACTACAGTCTGCAGCTCAGATCAAACTAACCGGTGGAATAAATTAATAATTTCTAATGAAATATTTGTAAAAAGCAGTGATTCAGTAGTAAATAATGTGAGTGGAAACACTAATCTCTCTAAAAATATCACCAGTATCAGTAAATACAATTCTTCTAACAAAATTTTTATTTTCATTTGATCACTTTCTGTGCTCATTTGTTTCCAGTTCTAACTCTATTTTCAAACCTCAAATCTATCAGTATTTACACAGCAGTATGTACAGTAGTTAATCAATAGAATATATTAGGCTCATGACCATCATATAAGGGGTGGGCTTGCCAACATGAATGGATGTAAAATGCAAAATACATGTTTTTGGACAAAATTAGAGAAAAAGCTTGTGAAATGATGCTATCTAACACTTAAACCTAACCCTTTGTGCCTAAACCTAGTCAAACCTTTAGTTGTGAAACAGTTGAATCTCAGCTAATAACCTGTTGAAATATTACAAATACTCTATAAACTATCTGTAGGCAGACTATAAAAATATAGTTGAACCTAAAGTATAGTTGAAGTACCATAAAGTGTCAAAATCCTTTTACTGTTTCAACAAATGAGGAACATTATAAAGTTCACCAAAGTTGTTTTTTGTATTGCACGAATAATGTATTTTACAAGTGTTCATGTTATTGTGTCCACCCCCTGAATGTCTCACTCTCCTCATGTAGTAAATGTGAGGCTTTGCTGTCCCTGCTGTACCCTTATACACACTAATACCATTTGAGCTGCGAGTTGAACTTCCGCTTCCCACCAAGAGACACACTGTCCCTGTGCTCTACATATTTCATAATATCCCTGCGTAAAACTCCACTGACATGATAGCCCACAGAGTCTGTCCTGCTTTCACCTTAGAAAAATGGGACTGCACCCACTCTCTAAATGACTGTTCACGTAACAGGTCTGCTGCATCCCTTTCTCTGGTTTGCAAATGCAGGTTACAGAATGCAGGGCAGCCACTGCATCATGTTACTATGCTGAAAACAGTGACGTCTTCTCAGGTTATTTTCATCTTAGCACAAAACACACACACACACACACACACAGGGCAACATTAAAAAGCTGCTCACACAACAATTGACCTGGTTTGAGCACAACAACCGGCTGACCTCACAGTGGTGGTGTCAGAAAATATAGGTCCCCTGAGCCAATACGCTGTCGTGGGTTAATTGTTACTCATTGTGTGGTTTGTGCTGTAGGGAAGCTGACAGGAAGTCAATCCCCTAGTGCCATTATTTTACAACTTGTAAAGAGGCCGCTGTGATCTTTGTCTCTCTTGGAGGTACACCAACTGGCTTCAAATGTCACACACAAGATTTCTGTGTTAATAGATATAAGACTGTAGATCCAAACAGCAGCAAGAGACAGCAATTCAATACCCAGAAATCGTGTGATGTGACATCATCACACTCATGTTTCCAACCCGACAGCTCTGAGATGTTTTAGGTCAGAGGCAAGACGTGACCTCGTTTGGACAATTCTAGGTTGTGGTGTGTACATTCAAGACTGAGAAGAATAATAAAGTTTTACATTATAGGGAAAAACATGCATGTGCTTTCTTTCTGGGAGTTAGATGATCTCATGCCTGTGCGTTAAGTATGGAGCTCCAGCCAGGAGGGTATTAGTTTAGCTCAGCTTAGCCTAAATAAGGGTTCCCATTCTTTTTAAGAAATCATTTTCCAGGAACTTTTATTCTCCAAGACACTTTCTAGTTTTTTTTTTTGGACAATACAGGACAACACTTGCTCACAAATTGTATAATTTACCAGTAAGCCTAGTAATGACACATTTAAGCCCAGTTTTATTCCTCCTTTTTTAATGGTAAAGGGTTCATGATGAAGTGCCTCAAGTTCATTACAGGTAGGAGGTCAGCGTGTATGGGACTATCAACATTAGCTTGCTTTCATAGCTTAGCTGTTCTCACTACAGACTTTTTCTGCTGTGGTCTCCATCAAACTGACTACAGACTACTACAGTTTACCTCGAACTGTAACATTAATTTGGCCACAGCTAAGAATGAACAATGCTCTGCGTCTGGTGTAAACAGCTAGACTGACTGACATCTGAGCTGAAATGAGAAAGGAGCATTTCACTTTGCGTCTCCTGCTTTGGTGTCATACTGTGCTGCTGTGCTGGTCCTACCAAGAGTTGAGTTTCAAACAATATATGCACGCTGCTTGGACAGAGCAATTAATCATGAAGTAGTTACAATATGTAACTCTCTGGAGAACCACAAATTGTAATTTTTTACATTTGTTTTGTATGGGTTAAACCATGAGATATAACATTTATAATTACTAAGTTCTAGAGGTTCTAGTAAGCATATTTAGATTTAGTCTCAATGCTAAGCTACGCTAACCCATCTCCTAGCTCTAGCTCCATACTTAATGTACACACATAAGTTTGGTATCTATCTTCCTAACTCTCTGCAAGAAAGCAAATAAATATATTTCCCAAAACTATTATTGTACAAAACTTTTCAAACCCAGAAGACAATAAGCAATAACCAAACGTGAACATTTTAAAAAGAACAATGTCAATTTGTTCTTTTCTTGCAAAAAAAGTTTTGGGTCTGAAATCGTATATTACCCTGAATGCACCAACAAGGCAAGCTTTTAAAAGCAGTTCAAGCGAGGTGAACTAGCAAGGCTAATGTGATGGACGATGAATCCAAAAGAAGTCCTTACAACCGACCTTGTTCAATGTTTCAAACATAGAAGCATATTAACAAATTCGGCATTAGATAAAAACTGGACTGTAACTAAAAAGTTGATGTGTGTTGTTTGTTGGGGTCATTTTGATCGTTTATATTCGTAAATGGCAGCTTTTTAAATGTTGCTGCCACAAGGAATTGTGGGACGGCATTATCTCCTTTTGTATCTAACGGATGGTCCAGATGCTAAAGGAGATAATAAAGGAGGCACTGAAGCTCCTTTCCTCAGCAATTAGAGAATTCAACAGCTCGTACCATGGCTGCCACTCAAATACTTCTGTGTCCTTTCACTCAGTTAGGAACCTTTAAAAAACCAAAAAAGACTATTCAACACTCTGTGTATCCTCAAATAAAAAGCTTTGAAAAGCCATATTGTGAAATGAGTGCTTTAAAAGTTTGTTTCATCAACTCTGGTGGGTCAGGATGAGTTCTAAAAACCAACAGCAGAAAGCAGTTTCATTGATTTAGACGGGGGAGTTTTTACATGAAAAATCATTAGTGCAGCACAAACTTATAGCACAGATCAGTAGTTTTAGATGCTGCATACTGAGCTCTTAGTCCATTTCATGCACACACACTCAAACACACATCAGATCTTAAAAGACACACAGCAAAGCAGTGAAGATCATTTTGAAAAAGTCTCTCTCTCTCTCTCTCTGAGTGATACCTTCTTTAGCTGGAGTGCTTTGCGGGGACTGGGTGAGAGACAGAGACTGAGAGAGAGTGGAGCCGTCGTCGGAGGTTAGCTCGTGCTCTCCATCTGCAGGGAGGGGGTGAGGGACGGATGAGAGGATTGCAGGGTGGTGTAGAGGATTGAAGTAGTGGGATGACAGCGGGGGTGAGTGGGATGAGAGGTGGGTGGGGTGGGATTTGGGATGAAGGGTCAGAAGGGGGTAAAGGGAGATTAGTGGTAAGACACACGTTAGAATCAGGCCATGCACAGCTGCTTTTTCACAAAATTTCCAAAATCCACGTCAGTTGGTCATCAGGCTCTCCGAGTGCCATCACTCGTTTGTTACCTCCTTCTCCTGGCTGCTGAGCGTGCACTGTAACATTTTGTTGTTAAAAGCTAGGCCTGGGCATTATTTGCATACAGAAACTTTTAGGGGAATGCAATACAAACTGAACATAATTTGTGTATACTGTGATTTAAAAAAAATCGATTGTATGGCTGTCCATCCTGGGATCCCTCCTGTGTCTGTCTCTGATTTTTTTTCCATCTTTTTCCTGTTTTTTGGGTTTTTTTTTCCTTATCTGAAGATAAGAAGGGTCTGATAGAGGATGTCATATGTTGTTCAGATTGTAAAGCCCTTTGAGGCAAATTGTGATCTGTGATATTAGGCTATATAAATAAAACTCGAATTGTATCATGTATCATGTACAATTCAAGTATGTATGATATTTATGTTGTCTAAGTTGTCCAAGAATTCTTTGGTTAAAAATGAACAAAAGCTTTTTGTTTTACATTTTTGTCTGATGTAATGCAAACCACTGGGAACAAGCATTCATTTGTTAATTTTACAAACATTTGCTATATCATGATACTGTTCCTACTAATATTGGGAAATGTTCTTTTTATAATATTGTGAAAATATCACCCTGATGTTATCTTTACCTAATGTATACTTCATGATGTCAGAACTGGGCAGCATTTAAACAATAATCATGCCTAAAAATTACGACTTGTTAATTTTCTTCATACCCTCTCCTTAAGAGAACCTAGTTTTCTTTTCTTTCCATCCTATCATTAGTGTTTTGTTATTATTTTTTTTATCTCCAAGAGCACCACATGGTTCCTGGCCCTAAAACTACTTGAGCAATGCTTTTTGTATCTCTTACAACAAATGATAAAAAAAAACAGCTTTTAACACAACTTCTGTAAGTACAGTAAATGTTACAGTCCAGCTCAGCATTAGTAGCTTCATTAGTTTTAAACACTGATTAGTGTGAATGAATGACATTCCCATTTCAATTTAACACATTAATTAGCACTTTCAGGGTTACACATTCAGTTGGCTGAGGCGTCACAACTCGTTCATACACGGCATATAGAACGTGGTTGTATAACAGCCTGGTGCAGTGAACATGCTCATATGTTCTTGTATGTGTTTGTCGGGTGTTACATGCATAAAGGTGAGATTTGAGAAATGAACTCAGTTTGAAAACCTTTAACATCACTAACAGCATGTAGCTTTCAACTGACAGCTGCCATGTGCACTGCACTTGTATCAGTTTTGACATTAAATGTTTCAACTAATCACAACACAAGTACTGGACACTGCTAATCACAGGCTAAACCTATGAGTGTGTGTGTGTGTGTGTGTGTGTGTGTGTGTGTGTTTGCGTGTCTTTGTTGCATATATCAGGCCATTACAGACGGTCTCCAGCTTGCATCCAGATTGGCCACCGGGGATTCATGGGGCTGTGGGGGCAACAGTGTCATAGCAACGGGCTCCGCTCATGTGGCGGGTGTGAAGACCTGCTGTCTGTTCGGTCTGCCATCTTAGTCACACCGGCCCCTCATAATCGGCACATGGACAGACTCACTACCACTACCACACACATACACGCACACACACACCATGACACCTGCACTGTGTTTCAAATGTACATAGGAGCATTTTGATGATCCTATAAACATGCATGAACACATGTTCATGCTGATGTACACACAGACATACGTGGCAGGAGCTTGTGCAGAATGGGGACTAGTGGACGACCCCCCTTCACGATCTGTTCTCTATTGATTTTTCGCCTGCCTCTCTGAAAGGCAGTGGGACAGAGGGCTAATATGATTAGCATTGACTGTCCTGTGCGCGAGGTTAACGCAGATGAAGGCAGCAGTGGAGCCCTTGGGGACATGCCCTCATGTTAAAAGGTATATACAGTGTGTGTGTGTGTGTGTGTGTTTATATGCTATAAACACACACACATATGCTGCTAAGGCGACAGCGCTACAGACCCTGGATTATATAGATGTTTATTAACAACAAGACTGCTGAGAGAGCACAGAACAAACTCAAGATGTACAGTAATCAATCTTCAAGTCAAGATTTGAAGAGGAGGAGGGGGAAGAGGAGGGACTGATTTGCTCCAGCTGTTTTAGCCGATTGTGAGCACTTGAACATGTCAGATGGTGCTTATTAAAGACTTTACCAGGATTCAGCAGGACCTGCCCGTATCTGGCTGTCAGAGTCGTGTCTTTTCTTCAGTTGAAAGCTCACTGGGAAGACACTAGTTAAAAAGAGGAATCTAGTACATTGAGACTTCCAGGTCAAATCTAAAAGGTTTTACTCTTAGGGCATATCAGGGAAAGGCAACAATAAGAGTAAAAATAATACTATACTAAATAACTATAAAACCAAACACAATACATTCAACTTGAGAGAAATTACGTTTAAAATAACCCAATTGTTTTCTGCCATAACAGACTCCGATATCTGTGATAGGCAAATATTGGCTGATAACATCAGCCATGCTGATACATCAGGCTCTCATGCATACTGCCAAAAATTAGAGCACACATCTCTAAAGGTAGCAGAGACCTGCTGCTCACTCAAATCTAGTGACAAATCTTGCTGGCTTGCTGCAGTAATCTCTTCCTGTGAGCTTCCAAACTGTGGATTATTAGATTGATGATTGATTGATTGAATGTTTTAAACTCCCTCAATAATTTATTGTTAAACGAAGCCTCACAGATTGGTGGGATTGTTTGCTGCTCATCCAGAACTCTTTGGCTTTGAGTACAAGTCATTACGTGTTTGTGTTCATGTGTGTGTGTGTGTGTGCATGTGTGCCAGTGTGTTCAGTCCATATGTCTCTCAGTGTGACTGGGCTCTTGTGGTGTTTGCAAGTTGAGCGTGAACGAGTTCAGAATCAAGTCCATACGCCTACGAACATTCACTTTATGGACTGGTGTGTGTGACTTGTATGTTTGTTTAAGTGTGTGTATTTATGTTGGCGTGTGTGTGTGTGTGTCTCGTACCACTGAGGCCCAGTTGCCTCCTCTCCATGTTCTTGCGGTACTCCTCCTTGTCCTTCTCTAACAGCTCACTGAAGGGGTTGGGAGGCAGGGGAGCCATCTGCTCCTCCTCTGTGGGCACGTATGGCTGGGGAGGAGACAGGGAGAGGGGTGAGCATGGGAGCAAACACACACACAAACACACAGTGCTTTGTTTTTGTATTTCAAGAGTGCATTCATGTGCCTCCTGACTGTGTGTGTGTGTGTGTGTGTTGTGTG